ATCAGTGCTTGAACTCCAGTACTTAATCTGCTCATCTTCTGAGTCATCCCCTTGCTCCTCACAGCCCTTGTAGCACCACAGTAACTGCTCCCTGGTGACCACATCAGGCTGTTTGTAACGTGTTGTTAGACTTTAGTCCCAAACCCATCACTCAGTCAAGCTAGAATGTCTACCAAGATAGTGTTTCCCTTTTGTACTCTCTTCTTATTAATTAGTCCCCTAATCCCCTGATTAAGCAACGGGAGCTGGCAAAGCAAGGAAATCTGTCCTTCTGCACCTTTATTTTGATGAGCTGACAGCAAACTTTCAGCAAACTCTTGGGCAAAGTCACAAGAGTTGACTTTTAAATCTGTTTGTACATCATAAGGTGAGACCCTCTGAGAAAGAAAGGGAAAATCCTGCAAAACCAACAGTAAAAGGTAATTTCCAAGGGTTTGTTTTTCACTCAGTACCTCAGTTAATGTATAGGCAAGATATGCAAAGTACAGAAAAACACATCAGTGTGCAGACTTGGGCTTTCCCCTCTGTTTACTAGGACTGAATGATTAGTCTCACATTTTATTTATTAGTTTGTTACATTATGTGTTAGAGAGCTTGTTATTATGTAGAACTACATTTCTGATTAATTAATCTCCACATCACTTCCTTCATAAGTAACAATCAAGCCTTATTCATCTTTTATTTGTTCTTGGCCACTGTGCAATTTTTGAACATGAAATTTGCTTTTCTATTGGTTTATTTGTCATTTTGCATGTTGTAACTAGTGGAGCCTTTAGCTAAAGTGAGGAGAGAGAAAATACCCAAACCAATTTAGAGTGAGGAAACTCACAGGCAGTGTTTGAGTAGGGTGGGGCTGAGCTCCTTAGGGTAAATTATAAATGGATGGTATGAAGTCTAAAGAAATAAACAAGTTCCAACACCGAATCGCTGCTGTATCCACTGAGGATTTTAAAAGAGGCAACAGTATGATTTGCTACAAGAAACGCCAAGAGAGCTCAAAACTGTCTCTTACCCTTTCTACATATAGCCAAGAAGCCTTGAACATAATTCCTGCAATAAGGAGCCCAGTATTTTGAAATCCATTCTTGGCTTTAAAAAGAATGAATGTTAGCAATAAAAGTATTTTCTGGAACACTTCCAAACCTGTGTGGTTCCTGCAACAGGGGAAGGATCAAATTTCACCATATGGAGATCGAACTAATTCTTCTATTCCTAAAATAAACTCAGATTCAAAGTGGAAACATAAATTACTTTTGCTCATTTGACCATTTTTGGGCTGGACATGGAACAGATTCGTATGGGGACTGGAAGTCCAAATGCCTGTTCACAGAGAAATTTCTCATGCTTTCTTTCTGTAGTGATTGGAGAAATAGTCTAAAATCCTGGGTTTATCCAACTTAAATCCACTACAATGACCCTGTCAGCTCCTGTCCTCAGACTGGTTTGCACACTGTGGCAGGACGAGGTCTCCTGGAGGAGCTTGGAGCAGACAGAGATCCTCTCTGTGGTCCCTGTCCCAGAGAGCCGGGGGTGACACGGCCAGTGACAGACCAGGGCTCCCACCTGCCTCCTGCCACGGGCAGGGGGAACCTTCAAAACAGGAATTCCTCTTTTCTCCCCTTTCATGTTTTATTGGGCTTTGTCTGGGATCACAGCAGATTGCTCTCTGCTGGTGTGCAGTCCCAGACAATGAAGACACCCAGCCGTGAGGGTAGGATGTTACAGCAACCAGCACAGGTACTCTAAAAACCAGCAAGTTATTTGTTATTTGGGCTTGGTTTGTTTTGGTTTTTTTCATGTCTAATATACTGTTAGTTTATGTGAAATAACAGGTAAGAAATAACATTCCCCTCCAACATCCATTACTATTCACTTCTAATGTGTGGCACAAAACATCCAGTTTCTTTCAAGTTGCTAGAAAATTGTAAGGTTGTGGAATAAATTGTGGTTAAAGGTTGTTTTATTACTACCTGTTGCGGTTTCTTAGATTATTTTCTCAAAGTGTTAGTTTAGCAGGAATAGACCATTGGTGCATTTGTGAATAAATGCAGTTATGAAGATGTGATACATATATCAATTTATGTTAACACTATGTATATAAAGATCTTATACAAGATAGAGGTTGTGTTGCATGGATACATAAATTTGAGGATACATTTTCTTTTTCCCCCAAGCAAGAGTTTAGAAGACAAAACTCCTGGTTTAGAGGGGTAGGATGCACACTGCATATCACTTTTTTGCAATATACTCCATAAATCTGATGCCAAAAAAACTTTTCACCACTCTTGCTCTTTAAAAAAAAAAAATACATATATAAAAGTGAGCTATTTTAACACAGCATTACTGAATGTGAATTTTTAAGTCTTTCCTCAAAGTGCTGGTGGGCTAAGATAAGAAAAGCTCCATCTCCTTCTATAGAACCACCTCTTCCACAGGGATGGATTTACACTGAATCACTTTATTCCCGACCTTAAAAATACTATTGGATCTAGATGCTGGCAACCCCACTCTGCATGAGCCTTCCTCTGGGCTACAGTCCCAGTTAAGGGATGATTCCTGATCTCTCCCCTGTTCTTGTAAACTTCATGTTTTAGGAAAATCCCTTACAGTTTAACTACTATTTTTTTTAAGCTAAGCACTGAATTATGCAGGGTAGCAATTTGGACTTGAATATCAAAGCACAGAAAGGACAATATATTCAGATTACTTAAGGCTCTTTTTTTTTTTTTTTTTAATATATTTCTCAGATTTTTTTTTTTTTTAATTCACTTTGGAAAGAAACTTGAAATATTTCACTCCTAGACAAGTTGAAACAGAGCTTTTTTTTTTAGCTGTGAAATGAATATGTCATCAATTGGTACTAAGGAAACAAAGGGTCAAAGAAAACCTCACCCACTTCCACGTTTTATGAATGTTGCTCATCATGGTGATGTCAGTGTGATTTCTTCTATAGGAAAAGAACAGCTTATATGAAAAAATCTGCAAAATCAGACACAAAGAAAGTTTTTGGTTTTCTTTGAAGGATCAGCCTTCACTAGAAACCTGTCAGCTAAACCAAGAGAGACCTGTAATTCTGTTTTTGTTCCCCACCTTGAGTCGCCTTTACCACCGTTCTGTTTCACTGTTGCCTTCTCTGGCTCTTCTGGACCCACAGAAGCGGCAGCAGCAGAAACAGATCCACCTCTGATCTAACAGCGACCCCTGTTTCCATACAGAGCACTCTGGGAGCAGGCATGAGGCATTTCACCACTGAAAAGCCATTTGAGTTGCCAGAGTGTTAGAGAAACCATTCTTTTTGCTAGAGCAGTGAGTCAGTCATAACAATTGTATTCACCTTTTTGGATTTGAAATCTATTTTAATGGCAAAATAATATGACAAATGGTGTAATGCATGCAAGGAGCAATAGGGATAATACATTTAATTAGAAAATAGTGAAACATCATATCAACAAGACGCAGTTGACTGGAAATATAAGGAAGGTCATACGAATAGGGAAAAAATGGAGGATTTTATACAGAAGATATTATAGTATATTCCCAACTCACCATTGTCTCTTACTGCAATTTAAAAAAATAAATTTAAACTGTCTTTTCTTACAAATCTATTTTGTCTTGAAATATCTACTTGGATCTCATTTTTGAAGAGCCAAGAAAATATTTTATAAGAAAAGGTTATTTTTCAAATTGTTGGCATTAAGCATAGCAGCAAGAAAACATACAGGGAAGCAAGAAAAGTATGGACTTAAACTGAAGTTTCCTTATACAAATCCCGAGTTAATTTTGATTAACCCAGCTACCAAGTGAGTTGCTTTTTTTCTGGAGTATAAAGCAGGTCAAACACTCAAACTCAATAAACAAATGTCACGTCTAATTTTTTTAACTTTCTTTTCATGAGCAATCATTTTAATCACAGGATATGCAAAGCCAAGTAAGTTTCTAAATTCCATTTTTTAAAAAAATCTCAAATTGAGTAAAGCTGAATCAGCAAAACATCTTCCAAAAAACCACTTTAAAAACCCTCTTTTTCCTCCTGATGGACACACTGGCAATTATTCAGGCAGTTGATCCTTCCTTCGCGGCCCTTCCCGCCGCACCCGCCAGGGGCCACTGCAGCCGCGGGGATGCAGCTCGGGCGCATCGCTCAGGCGGGGACATCGCCAAGGGAAGAGCAGCGCGACACGCAGTAACCAGCACAAATTCGTAGAATTGACATTATAATCACCACTGCAACATTTTCTCGGGGAGTTGAGCTTTGCTTTTTCCCACAGAAGTTTGCGTATCATTATTTGCGATTGTCCCAAAGAAATCTTTAACTCAAGGCTCCAGATCCCGCCGGCTGCTCTGCGTGTTTCAGAGCAAGGCGTGAGCACGGCAGCAGATCTTGCGCCGGGACACCGGCAGCCCCCCTCGGGCCCCCACATGGTGCTCATTTTGCCCTGGAAAGTAGTTTCACTTTATTTTTTCCCCCTCCATAGCGAGAATTTAATAAAACGAGTTTAAATTAATTTCTGTTTAACTTTGGGCTTATCCGTCCTGGACGACGGATCTGAGACGACAGGTGGCTGCTGCGTGGGGAAGCGGCCGAGCTCCCGCGGAGCTCGGTCCGGAGCGGGAGCTGCCCCGAGTCCGCACGGCCCCGCGGAGCCGGCAGCTCCCCCGGCCGCCGAGGGGCGCCGGGCGGCGGAGCGGGAGCCCCGCGGGGCTGAAGTCGGCCCGGCCCCCGCTGCC